GGTGGGAGAGAGGGGGCTGGGGTGTGGGTGGGGAGAGAGGGGCTGGTGTGGGGTGGGAGGAGAGAGAGGGCTGTGTGGGGTGGGAGGGAGAGAGGCTGGTGGTGGGTGGGAGGGGGCTTGGTGTGGGTGGGGAGGGGGCTGGGTGTGGGTGGGGGGGTGCTGGGTGTGGGTGGGGAGAGAGGGAGGGGGCTGGGGTGGGGGAGAGAGGCTGGGTGTGTGTGGGAGAGAGGGGGCTGGGTGGGTGGGGAGGAGAGGGGGCTGTGTGGGTGGGAGGAGAGAGGGCTTTGTGTAGGTGGGAGGGAGAGAGATGGGCTGGGGTGTAGGGAGGAGAGAGAGGGCTGGGTGTAGGTGGGAGGAGAGAGAGGGGGGAGAGAGGCTGGTGTGTGGGTGGGAGAGGAGAGGGGCTGGGTGTAGGTGGGAGGAGGGGCTGGGGGGAGGAGAGAGGGGAGGCTGGGGGGTGGAGGAGAGAGGGGCTGGGTGTGGTGGGGGAGAGAGAGAAGGGCTGGGGAGGAGAGGGGGGGATGGTGTGGGTGGGAGGAGAGAGAGAGGCTGGGTGTGGGTGGGAGGAGAGAGAGGGGTGAGGTGGGAGGAGAGAGGGGGCTGTAGGGTGGGGGAGAGGGCTGGGTGGGGGAGGAGAGAGGGGCTGGGTGTGGGTGGGGAGGGGGGGCTGTGTGTGGGTGGGGAGGTGTGGGGGAGGGTGGGTGCTGGGTGTGGGTGGGAGGGGGGGGGTGGGTTGGGTGGGAGAGGGGCTGGGGTGTGGGTGGGGGGAGAGGGGCTGGGTGTGGGTGGGGGGGGGGGGCTGGGTGTGTGGGAGGAGAGAGAGGTGGGCTGGGTGTGGGTGGGAGGAGAGAGGCTGGGTGGGTGGGAGGGGAGAGAGAGAGGCTGGGTGTGGTGGGAGGAGAGGGGCTGGGTGGTGGGTGGGAGGGGGCTGGTGTGGGTGGGAGGAGAGAGGGGGGCTGGGTGTGGTGGGTGGGGGGGAGAGAGGCTGGGGTGGGTGGGAGGGGGGGGGCTGGGTGTGGTGGGGTGGGAGGGGAGGGGCTGGGTTGTGGGTGGGGAGAGGGGGGGTGTGGGTGGGGGAGGGGGGGGGGCTGGGTGTGGGTGGGAGGGGGGGCTGGGTGTGGGTGGGGGGAGAGGAGAGGCTGGGTGTGGGTGGGGAGGAGAGAGGGGCTGGGTGGTGGGTGGGGGGGAGGCTGTGTGTGGGTGGGAGGGGGGGCTGGGTGGGGTGGGAGGGGGGGGGGCTGGATGTGGGTGGGAGGGGGAGGGTGTGGGTGTGGTGGGAGGAGGGGGGCTGGGGTGTGGGGTGGGGAGGGGCTGGATGTGGGTGGGGAGGAGAGAGGGGCTGGGTGGGGGGGGGTGGGTGGGGGAGGAGAGAGGGGGGCTGGTGTGGGTGGGAGGGGGGGGGGGCTGGGTGGTGGAGGTGGGGGAGGCTGGGTGTGGGGTGGGAGGGAGTGGGTGTGGGTGGTGGAGGAGAGAGGGGGCTGGGTGTGGGTGGGGGGAGGGGGGGCTGGGGTGGGGGGGGAGGGGTGGGGGTGTGGGTGGGGGGGCTGGGTGGGTGGGGGGGGGGTGGGGGCTGGGTGGGGTGTGGGTTGGGGGATGGGTTGGGTGGGAGGAGAGAGGGGGCTGGGGTGGGGAGGAGAGAGGGCTGGGGGTGTGGAGGAGAGAGAGGGAGGCTGGGTGGTGGGAGAGAGGGGGTTGGGTGGTGGGAGGGAGAGGCTGGGGGTGGGGAGGAGAGAGGGCTGTGGGTGGGAGGAGGGCTGGGTGTGGGGGGTGGGAGGGGGGAGGGGGGGCTGGTGTGGGTGGGAGGGGGGCTGGGTGGGTGGGGAGAGAGGGCTGGGTGTGGGTGGGGGAGGGAGGCTGGGTGTAGGTGGGGAGGAGGAGAGGCTGGGTGTGGGTGGGGAGGAGCAGAGAGGGCTGGGGTGTAGGTGGGAGGAGGAGGCTGGGTGGTGGGTGCAGGAGTGAGTGGGGTAGGGGAGGAGAGAGAGGGGCTGGGTGTGGGGTGGGGGAGGGGGGGCTGGGTGTGGGTGGGAGGAGAGGAGAGGCTGGGTGTGGGGTGGAGAGGGGCTGGTGTGGGTGGGAGGAGAGAGAGGGCTGGGTGTGGGTGGGAGGGAAGGAGGGCTGGGTGTGGGTGGGAGAGGGAGAGGCTGGGTGTGGGTGGGAGGAGAGAGAGGGCTGGGGTGGAGGTGGGAGGAGAGAGAGAGAGGGGCTGGGTAGGTGGGAGGAGAGAGAGGCTGGGTGTGGGTGGGAGGAGAGAGAGAGAGGGGCTGGGTGTGGGTGGGAGGAGGGGGAGAGAGGCTGGGGTGTGGGGAGGGGAGAGAGAGGCTGGGTGTGGGGGTGATGAGAGGGGGAGAGGCTGGGTGGTGGGTGGGGGGGGGCTGGGTGGGTGGGAGAGAGAGGGCTGGGTGTGGGTGGGGAGAGAGAGGCTGGTGTGAGGCTGGGTGTAGGTGGAGGAGAGAGAGGGGGCTGGGTGGTGGGAGGAGAGAGAGAGGGCTGTGGGTGGGAGGAAGAGAGAGGGGGCTGGGTGTGGGTGGGAGGAGAGAGAGGCTGGGGTGGGAGGAGAGAGAGGCTGGGTGTAGGTGGGAGGGGGAGAGAGGCTGGGTGTGGGTGGGGAGAGAGAGGGCTGGGGGGTGGGGTGAGAGGGAGAGGCTGGGTGGGTGGGGTGGGTGGGTGTGGGTAGGTGGGTGGGGAGAGAGAGAGGCTGGGTGGGTGGGAGGGGAGAGAGAGGCTGGGTGGGGAAGAGAGAGAGGGCTGGGTGTGGGTGGAGGAGAGGAGAGGCTGGGTGTGGGGGGAAGAGAGAGAGGGCTGGGGTGGGTGGGAGGTGGGGAGAGAGAGGCTGGGTGTGGGGGGAGAGAGAGTGGGTGGTAGGTGGGAGGGGAGAGGGCTGGGTGTGGGTGGGAGGAGAGAGGCTGGGTGGGTGGGGAGAGGGGCTGGGGGAAGAGAGAGAGAGGTGCTGGTGGGAGGAGGGGGAGGGAGGCTGGGTGTGGGTGGGGGAGGGAGAGAGAGAGGCTGGGTGTGGGGGAGGGGGAGGCTGGGGGGGGGAGGAGAGAGAGGCTGGGTGTGGGTGGAGGAGAGGGGCTGGGTGTGGGTGGAGAGAGAGAGGCTGGGTGTAGGTGGGAGGAGAGAGGGCTGTGGGTGGGAGGAGAGAGAGAGAGGCTGGGTGTGGGGTGGGAGGAGAGGAGGGGCTGTGGGTGGGAGGAGAGAGAGGCTGGGTGTGGTGGGGAGAGGGGGCTGGGTGGGGAGTGGGAGAGAGAGAGAGGCTGGGTGTGGGAGGAGAGAGAGAGAGGCTGGGTGTAGGGTGGGGAGAGGAGGCTGGGGGAGGGGGAGGGAGGGGGAGGAGAGAGGGGGCTGGGTGGGGTGGGGAGGAGAGAGAGGCTGGGTGTAGGTGGGAGAGAGGGAGAGAGAGCTGGGTGGGAGGGGAGAGAGAGGGTTGGGTGTGGGGGGAAGAGAGAGAGAGGGGTAGGTGGGAGGAGAGAGGGCTGGGTAGGTGGGAGAGAGAGGAGGCTGGGGTGTGGGGAGGAGGGAGGGGGGCTGGGTGTAGGTGGGAGGAGAGGCTGGGTGGGTGGGAGGAGAGAGAGAGGCTGGGTGTAGGTGGGAGGGGAGAGAGGCTGGGTGTAGGGTGGGAGGAGAGAGAGAGGCTGGGTGTGGTGGGAGGAGAGAGAGGGCTGGGTGTGGGTGGGAGGAGAGAGAGAGGCAGGGGAGAGAGAGAGGCTGGGTGTGGGTGGAGAGGAGAGAGAGGGCTGGGTGTGGGTGGGGGGGAGGAGAGGGGTGGGGAGGGGAGAGAGAGGCTGGGTGTAGGTGGGAGAGAGGGCTGGGTGTGGGTGGGAGGGAGAGAGAGGCTGGTGGAGGTGGGAGAGAGAGAGGCTGGGTGTGGGGGAGGAGAGAGAGGCTGGGTGTGGGTGGGAGGAGAGAGAGGCTGGGTGGTGTGTGGGGAGGGGAGGGAGAGGCTGGGTGTGGGTGGGAGGAGAGAGAGGCTGGGTGGTGGGTGGGGAGAGAGAGGGTGAGGAGAGAGGCTGGGTGTGGGTGGAAGGAGAGAGAGGCTGGGTGTGGGTGGGAGGAGAGAGAGGCTGGGTGGGAGGAGAGAGAGGGGCTGGGTGTGGGTGGAGGACAGAGAGAGGCTGTGTAGGGAGGGAGAGGGTGGGTGTGTGGAGGAGAGAGAGGCTGGGTGTAGGTGGGAGGAGGAGAGAGAGGGGTGGGTGTGGGTGGGGGAGGAAGGTGCTGGGGAGGGTGTGAGGAAATGTGAGAAAGATAGCTGGGTGAGGGTGTGCAGGGTAGAGAGAGATAGCTGGGTGAGGGTGTGGGGCAGGGTAAGAGAGATAAGCTGGGTGAGGGTGTGAGGAAGGTGAGAAAGATAAGCTGGGTGAGGGTGTGGGTAGGGTAAGAGAGATAAGCTGGGTGAGGGTGTGGGCAGGGTAAGAGAGATAAGCTGGGTGAGGGTGTGAGGAAGGTGAGAAAGATATACAGTACACTTAGTGTTACAGGGGTTTTAGGTTCTGTTGAGAAAAAACGTGATATAAAGAATTGCTGTTCTTTTGTTAGAGTTATAAATACAAAATTCAGTTCTTGGTTTTATAGCTACCATTTCCTCAGAGCTAATGTGATGTGACTCCTCATTTTGGGAAAGACTTAATATCAACCACTACTGTACTGTAGTATACGAAAATGAAGTTAGTGCCTATCACTTACTGGTAGGTAAAGTACAGTGTAGCTACAGTACTGTATAGCTATGTTTTCTTCATGATTATTGTGCCTGCACTAATTTTTTTTTTCTTAACCTATTTTAACATTCATGATTTCTGCTTCCTTGGGTTTTATTAGTGTATCCCCTGTAATGTATTTTCCTTGTGAAGCCGCACATCTTAAGTGAATGGCAGTTTTTCTGCTTGTTTCTTGAACGTGATTCTTTGTATACTACTGATACTAATAACCCGTTGCAGATAATCTGAGTACAGTACAGTATTGATGTACTGTACAGTAGAGTATAATGAACAACTAAATGTGGTAATGATGAAAATTTTTATTGATTTCTCAGGAGTTATTGGCACTAGCAAAGAAGAAAAAGAAGCTGTCTGGCAGTGAATCATCAGGTGGTTCATCACCTAGACAGAAGCCCACACCTCAGGCAAAGGTTGCATCTGATTCTGATTCTGAAACTAGTGATTCTGACTCAGACTGGGATGCTCCCAAGGGCAGAAAAAAGAAAATGGTAAGATCTGATTTCCGTATTGATTCTTTTGTATCTACTTGTAAAGAAGGAGGGTGCTGGTAAGCCTTTTAGGAGAATATACCTTTACAAATGTTTAAGTCAACTTGTAAATTGTATTGGACAATTACACACAAATTTATCTGTTCTTTCCTTCAGGGTAAAGCAGCTGGAAAAACACGGAACAAACGGGCAGTGGTTGCTCGGGACAGTGACTCAGATGACAGTCGACCACCTAGAGGTAGTGGATCAGAGCCAGAGGAGGGTAGGTGTCATATCAATGATACTCTGTGTGTGTGTGTGAGAGAGACAGCAGAGTATGCTAGGTGCTACTATAGCATCTGGTCTACAACATATTTTGGTCTGGTTAGGTTAGACGAAAGATATCTTTGTGGACCGCACGCTATAGTAGCACCGTATGCGGTTAAGGACAGTACGGAAAAAGGCTTTAGAGTTTGTAAGAAAAGGAATCTTTAGGTTATCTTGAACTGGAATATAGAGAAGGACCCCTATTCATACATACAGGACAGTACTGTAATATTTAACCCAATATAACATTTAAATTTTTTCATCCTTAGGTGAGGTGTCAGACAGCAACAGCAGTGACTCAGATGTTGACTTGGATGAAGAATTTGATGACGGCCTTGATGAAAACATGATTGGAGACGAAGAAGACAGAGCACGTTTAGAACAAATGACCGAAAAGGAACGTGAGCAGGAAATTTACAATCGAATTGAGAAGAGAGAAGTATTAAGAACTCGTTTTGAAATAGAAAAGAAATTGAAATTGGCTAAAAAGAAAGAACAAAAAAAGAGAAAGGAAAAGGAAGGTGACAAAAAAGAGTCTAAGGTAAATATTTTAAAATTTTGGTGAAAATGTGAATATGGGAAAAGTTGGTAATTTTCGGAATAATTAATTATTTTTTGTGTTAGTAAGACAAAACTAAGGTCCTTCAGTTCAGACATAATGTTTGAATTTTTTTGAAACCAACGACATTCACCATCTTGTTGGAAAATCATCAAATATATTCCCATATCATCTTTTCCTCTCATGTACCATTTAAAGAGAAGGCTATTGTTCTACAGTAAGTGTTCCTGTCTCCCCTTTTATTATCCTATCAACAAAATGCTTGATATCTGTTAACACTTGTTCAGAATGTCTCATTGGTAATAGGTTGTGCAGTAAGCTTCACAACTTGACCTGTCAAAATCCCTTTTTTAGAACTAAAGTTATAATAAAGGAGTTGCCTAATCTGATTAGCTCCGAGTCACTTTAGTTTTAGAGGTTCCCACATCCAAACTCACAGACTTTGGTGGGGCTTTATGCACAAATCATTCCTCTCTGGCTTGTTGATACTATGGGTTTTCAGGATCAAACCTTCAAATGCCAGTGTTATGCATTTGTCTTTTATCACAGTAGTTTGGGTGAAAATGTGGGTTGGAACTTTGGAAGTAAAGTATCAATAGAGTAAGGGATAGATAAGTTGCACTGCATTGAATTATTCAACAATTCTTGAAACTAAGTGATAGATGTATTTCAATGTATGTACAGTTAACCCTCGCTTCTGCGGTCCACCGTTTGCGGTTACCCTGCGAACGGAATGTCACTTTCCTGTGATGGTGTGCCCTTTTACTTGGGGAGGCTGAAGAAGCTGGGTGGCGGTGTTAAAACATTACAGGTTTCACCGCTACCCTTACAGCCGGCCCAAGTCAGTGATGGTGATATGATGGTGAGGATATGGACTTATATGGACTTTGAGGTTTGACGAGGCATGGCCTCTGTGGTGGATAGTGATACAATTGATGTTGGGTGAGGGCTTGTGCCTCTGCCTGGAACAACCCCCATCGTGTGCAGCCATCTTTCTATGTAAGTGTTCCTAATATTATTGATATTTCTCTTATATTAATTGTGTGTGCATCCATCATAAAATTAAGTTATTTTTGCGTGGTGTGTCTGAAAAGGGGTTTGGGGGTGGCCTGGTCTCTATTTCAATTTATCCCATATGTTATATTGTTCACTACTCGTTTCTCACTTTGTGGGCAGTGGAGTTCAATTGACGTGGTGAGGGTTCTAGTATTCATCATTGCATAGCAGGCTTTCTAGTTTAGCGACTGTATTTTACCTTTTTCAGTTGACTGGAATCTTCACAGCTAAATTCAGCCTGCTAAAATAAATTATTTGGTTTGTGGTGTTAGTAAATTCAGGGGATGAGGAATAATGAAGTACAGTACAATTACAGGTATTGGATATGGCTGAAGCCATAGATAGGATACTGTATGAGGGTCATTAAATTGGGTCGGAAATACATTGATATAGTTTGGGTATTAGGAAAGGATGGTGGTTGTTAAGCGTGTTCAAGGTGAGATCATATGTATCGGAATAGAAAGTAGCCAACTTATTGGAAATAAAAAGTGGAAGAAGTACTGGGAAAACTCACATGAGGAGAATGGATCAGGTTAGGAATGTTTGTTTACTAGGGAAAGCAAAAGTCTTTCCATCATGGCCATTCTCTACAGCAAAAATTACAGTATCAAATATGAAAACAGATAGAAATAATTTATTGTGGTTTAATGTGCTGTACAGTTTAAGCACTTGTTGCATTACTAATGTGGTTTTAAATATTGGTCAACAAATAATTTTTTTCTTAACATTTTTTATATTCCAGGAAAAAACAGCCTGTGTTAACTGACAGAAAAGAAACACTAGAGAGAGCTGGAAGGAATGACAAGTTTGCTACTTTCAGGGCGTGAAAATAAGTTCTGAAGGTTGGCTCCTAGTATACTGTTTGTGCCTGTACACTAATTTAGGTTTCCCCTTCAATAGTTGTTTCCAAATTTAAACCTATAATTATTCAAAGTGGCACACTTTATTTGGTTTATATTTGGGTTGGATTCCATGAAGTCATACCAGCAGAATATTTTGAAAATGTTTTTGTCTGATGCATATCTATCAAAGTGAATGGGATGAGCACGTGTATAAACAAAGAATGTAGTCATATCATTTAGGAAGGGAGTTTGGATGATATAATTTGGAAATGGGAGTTTTGCTATCTTTGGAATTAAGATTAGGAAAGAATTTAATTCATTAGTACAGAACCTTTATAAAGGAGAAACAAGAAGATAAAAACACACCTGGAAATTAAGTAGTACCCTGATTCTGCGGTCAATTGAACCCACAGAATTACCTTGAGAAAAGTGAAACAGCGTAAAAGTGAACAACAGAACATATGGGATTAATTCCAATAGAGACTGGCCCGACCCCAAACTCCACTTTTTCCTACACAATACCTTGTTGTAGTAAAAATAACATCTAAATTTTATGATGGTATGCTCACACAATTAATATTTAAGAAATATAATTACGCCAGGTTAATGTCCATTCAAACAATGGACTCAAATCCCCCCCCCCTCTTCCCAGCTCACTAGCTCCTACCTCTCTGAGAAATGTTTGGGTGAAACCACTAGATTTTAACGTTTAGTATTAAATAATACCTCAGACTAAAGTTAGGATAATATAATTGACATTTCTGGATTCCTTGCAGGTCAGGGAATATTTTGAATGTAAACTTCATATTTTGCACAAGATAAAATATTTGCTTTATGTAAACAAATTATTACATTAGATCTAAAATTTGTATGTCTATTTCAAAATCATGCTGTTTATATTCAAATGATCAACATATTGTAGAATTTAGCAATGTAACTTATATTCTGGCGATAATTTGTATGAATTTTATGAGCTAAAACAAATATCTTCAGGTAATAAAAAAAAATATTCTTCAGGACACTATCTGTCAATCAAAGTACCACCCGTTGCCTCCCCCCCTCCTCCTCCGCCAGCTGGGTTGGATAGGTCCCAACCCTCCCCCCACCCCCACCTTCCCTCCCTACCAGAGAAATGTTTGGGTGAAAAACTAGATTTTAACTTTTAATAATAAATAATACCTAGACTAAAGTTAGGATAATATAATTGAATTTCTAGATTCCTTGCAAGACCAGGAATATTTTGAATATAGCGTCATATATTTTGCACAAGCGATAAAATATTTGCTTTGGTATGCATAAATTATTACATTAGATCTAAAATTTGTAAGTCTAATGCAAAATCCATAGTGTTATATTCAAAATGATCATCATATTGTAGGAAATTCCATCAATGTAAATTATATTCTGGCAGGAGTAATTTGTATGCATTTTATAGGCTAAATAAAAAAAATTATACTTCACCGTGTTTATGAGTAGATGCACATGAGAAAGTGAAAGTCGGTTCTGGAATTTCGTAAATGTGTAAAAGCGGGGGTAATACTGTAAATGAATGAAGTATATAGTAGGACCTAATTGATAATTGTCTTATATTTTTATTCACATCAATGGTCTATATTTATCATTGTGTTTTCTTACCTGTTTCAATCATACTTCACTGCATCATGTTTTTTAGGATCATTTGAACTAATTTATTTATTCTCAAATATTTACGTAGCAGAAGAAGAAAAAAAAAAAAGAAAAGGGCTGAGGACAGAGGAGAAGGAAGGAGAAAAAGGAGAGATCAGTAGACTCGATTCTAATGCAGATGAAGGAAAATCAACACAAACTCAAGGTAATAGCGTTTTCTTTCACGAACTCAGTGCCATTTGATGAAAAGTTTGATGTTCATTATTAATGCAGTGTGTTATTGTTTGGTTATAAAGCATTACCAGAGTATTATATTGTAGGCATCTGATGTGTTCAGCTCCAGGCGACAGTGGATCTGAAAGTGAAAAATCATAAAGTCAGACAAATCAACCAAGCGCTGTCGTCCTCATGTCTTCCTCAGCTTCATCCGACAGTGACAGCGACTCAGGCAGGTAAGATCTTAAAGTTGTTTATTATTATTTTCTCAGACTTGCTGTCTAATGAAAACATAAAATAGACACTAGTATGATGGACAAAAAGTAAGGTTGGTCCATCAGTAGGATGTATAAATTTAATCATTTACAGTAATTTGAAAGTAAATTAACCCTATAAAGTAATTAATTGTGGTGCAGCCTTGGTGTGTGATCCTTCTGTAAATTAGATGTGCTTCTTGGTAAAAAAAAAAATCTAATTACATAATTTTTTTCTAATAAATAAAATTATATAAATTTAATTTCACATTAATTCAGTTTCAACATGAAATTAGAAACACCAAATGATTGATCGTTGTTTGTTAAAATATAGTAGTACCTGGTGTATATTGTTCATGTGTCCTTATCAGTAGTTGTTTTGATATGGTCACCATAGTTGCTCAGTGACCATAATCCTATCCGAGGAAAAATAGGAATATTGTGCCTTTTCTGGTTTTTTGGGGGTTTATTGTATTCCTGATATATCTTACTGTTTGTGACACAGTGTTGCAGTAGTGGGTTTTGTACTGAATGATGACTCCAGATGCCTTACACTTGGCCTGGTTTTTATAAATTATTTAACAATACAGTACAGGTGTGTTAATTTATTTAATTTTTTTTTTTACATTAAATTTTTTGGTTTTAAGTTAAACCATAACACATGATTCAAAAGCATAGATAGCAGCGGTAGGTATGATACAGTATACTGTGTACTGGTAAGATCAGCCGGGGATAATTATAACTTCAGATTCAATTATGTTAGAGATCAGTACACTAAACTATAAACCTGATATTTTACTCACAGATATTGGCGTCTTTATCCATTCAGTACTACGTTATAATTGATATTTTACATATTGAAATTGACACGCTAGAAATTAATACATCTAATTGTTTATTGTGCAAAGTATGAGTGAAATTTACTAATACAGTATGGCCATAAAGATGAGACACTGAAATTGGACTTCACCATAATAAACATCACTGTGGTGAGTGTTTGTCATAGAGGTGT